ATAGCAGCAACCTAGTGCTGCGGCTACAGCTCGCATCAGCTGCAGCAGCACCTGCTGCTGCTGCTGCTGCAGCAGCACCTGCTGCTGCTGCAGCTGCAGCAGCACCTGCTGCTGCTGCAGCAGCACCTGCTGCTGCTGCTGCTGTCTTATTTTGCCGCTGCTGCCGCCTATTCAAATGTAGAGCAGTGCTGCTATTGCTTCTGCTGCAGCAGCAACAGCAGCAGCAGCAGAAACCGAACTATTGCCATTGATAAAGTCTGTTATTCAGGTGTACAGATAACGTTTGCTGCTGCTTTTGCAGCACTGCAGCAGCAGCAGCAGCTGCTGCTGCTGCTGCAGAGATCCTGGTCTAAAATATATTGCAGCAGCAGCAGCTGCTGCTGCTGCAGCAGCTGCTGCTGCTCCCTACGGAGGTCTGAGTTGAACCTCTCGCCCACTAACAGCACCGCTAGCAGCAATGCAGCAACAGCAACACCAGCAGCAGCAGCAGCAGCAGCAGCAGCAGCAGCAGCAGGTATGCGGTGTATCTAGCAGCGCTCGAAGACCCTGTAGAGGGCCTTGAGGTTTGTTAGCTCTCTCACAGTCCCGTCGGTGAAGAACCTGAAGACAAACACCAACGCATGCGCTGCAGCACAGCAACTGCAGCAGCAGCAGCAGCAGCAGCAGCAGCACAATACAGTAGCAGCAGCAGCAACAGCACCATTAGCTCCAGCAGCAGCTGCTGCAACAATCGCAGCAGCAGCAGGAACACCTCTCCTAGCAGCAGAAGTAGCTTCCCCAGGAGCAGCTGTAGCCACAGCAGCAGCAGCAGGATACAGCACCGCCACCAGCAGCAACAGCAGCAGCAGCAGCAGCAGCAGCAGCAGCAGCAGCAGCAGCAGCAGCAAGTACCGCTTGGGTATGCGGGCCCTCCAGTAGAAACGCAGAGCCGGCATCAGCACGCAGCTAAACATCCGCCTGGTCTCTGCGCCCGCCGCCATCTGCCCCTCCAAGTCTCCACTCTCCCTGAGCAGCAGCAGCAGCAGCAGCAGCAGCAGCAGCAGCAGCAGCAGCGGTGATAGTAGTAGTTACAGCAGGAGGTGCAGTAGGAACAGCAGCAGCAGCAACAGCAGCAGCAGCTGCAGCAGCAGCAGCAGCACGGGATAACACCGCCCCGCCAGGCGTACTTGTGAGCTGCTGCTTCCTCGCGGAGCGCTGTCTTCTGCTGCAGCAGCAGAGAACTGCTGCTGTTCTCTTGCTGCGTTTGCTGTTGCTGCTGCTGCTGCTGCTGCTGCTGCTGCGCCGCACCCGCTGCCGGAGTGACACCAGCAGCAGCAGCAGCAGCAGCAGCAGTTTCTACGTCCTCGGGATCCTCAACTGTAGTGTATGCATCCGCTAACACGAGAGCGATGCCTTGGAGGCACACAGACTCCTCAGTCCAGTCTACCTGCAGCAGCAGCAGCAGCAGCAGCAGCAGCAGCAGCAGCGGCAGCAGCAGCAGCAGCAGCAGCAAATGGACGAACCACATGAGCACAGCAACCTCCAATACGAGCTAAACCAGCAGCAGCAACAACAGCAACAGCAGCAACAGCAGCAGCAGCAGCAGCATACCTCTGCAGCCAGCTGCAGCAGCAAATGCCGGAGGCGAAGAGGAGAAGGCAGATGGCGGCCGCAGCACAAAGGGAGACCAAGGAGACAAGTGTCTCCTTTTATACTATAACTGTCTCCTTTTATACTATAACTGTCTCCTTTTATACTATAACTGTCTCCTTTTGTGTAACTGTCTCCTTTTGTATAAGTGTCTCCTTTTATTACAACGCCAAAGTAATCTGCTAGCAACGCACGGCGCTGCAGCAGCCTGCAGCAGAGAGAACGAGCTTCCTCCTGTAGCTGCTGCTGCTGCTGCTGCTGCAGTTGCTGCTGCTGCTGCTGCAGTTGCTGC